GCTTAAAAAAGCTAAAAAAGATGTTTTCAAATGACAACTTCTAATTAAATGAATTACTTAAAAGCTAAAAGCCAGAATCTGTTTTTTACTTTTTTTTTGGGTGAAATGTAAGTATATTAAAAGACACCCAAGAGAAGAGGGGGGTTCAAGAATGTACAAACAAATGAAGGGAAACAAAACTGTAGGTTAACCAACAGGGATAACCTTCCAAAACAAAAAAGCACCCTGCCAAAGCTACGGCTAACACCAACAAAAAAAACACAGCAACGGTGAAGCACCAAAAACAACGCCAAGCAGCCCGCACACAGAACAAACCAAACACCAAGACAAGGTGAAGGTCGCAAACAAAAATCCAACTAAAGAGTTACAATCTCATTCGGATAAAAGCTATAGAGGATCTTATAAGTAATATATTGGATCCTAACAAAAACGTCATCTTCATTGGGCACCAAACCATCAAAGCACGTGGCATTCCGGGTTCTCCAAATCCAGTAGATGGAGTAGCAGAAAGCAATCCTCGCCGCCTTAGCTTTGATCCCAGATCCTTGTCTACTCTTCTTGATCCATTTCAGTGCACTTTGTATGGTCCTCATCTCCCTAGGAAAGTCCAGCCAAGTCCTCACCTTTTGCCAAACACCTCCTGAAAAAGAACAAGAGAAAAATAGGTGTGGTACCGTTTCCGGACCACCCTTACAAAAAGGGCACATGTTAACAACATCAAGTCTATGTAAATTATCAATAGTAGCAAGGCGGTTTCGAAAGGCTAACCAAACCGTGAAGGAGAACTTAGGGGGAATATAGTGTTTCCAAATAAACGGCATCCAACTGCGAGTTTCCCCCTTAATTCTAAGCAAGTTATACACCTTGGCCGAGGACAGCTTGGTGTTAACTTGGAGCCCATTTAGATGGTTTATGGCCATTTGAGTGCTGTCAAAATGGGACAAGATCTGGTCTCTAATAATAGCAATCTTTTTGATAAGTTGGGAGTCTCTTTTGTGAGGTGTAAACTCCCAAACACCTCTACCATTGAGGTAAACCCCATGGATCCATCTTACCCAAAGGTTATCCTTTTTAGTATGGATATCCCAAAGGGTTTTTGTCAAGAGGGCAGAATTCCAAATATGAGTGTCATGGATACCAAGTCCACCTTCCTCCAAAGGGAGGCAAACATCCGCCCAAGCAACTCTAGCATACTTGCACCCCCAAAGGAAAATACGACGATAGAGGTGATTCTATCAAGTACAGCCTTAGGAATTGGGAGTGCTTGTAGCCAGAAAGAGTGTACTCCCTGAATGACAGACTTAATGAGCTCAACTCTACCAGCATAAGAAAGGCTCTTAGTGTTCCAAGCACTGATAAAGTTGGTAATAGAATCCAACAAAGGAGCATATTGTGCCACAGAGATTCTGAGAGGGGCTAAAGGGATGCCCAAATATCTCACAGGGAAGGTTCCCTCTTTAAAGTCAATCAAATGTAAAATGTAAGCAATGTCATAATCAGCCAAGCCCCCAATAAAAATGTTAGATTTGTCAAAGTTAACTCTGAGGCCGGAAATATTTCCAAACTCATTCAAGGCATCAATAAGAACTTTAATAGAGGGGTAATCCTCTCTAGAAAAGAGCATGAGATCATCAGCATATGCCACATGGGAAATATTAAGTTTCCCACATTTGGGGTGAAACTTAAAAGAAGGTGTCTTCGTTCTAACATGGAGAAGTCTAGAGAGATACTCAAGACAGATGACAAAGAGGAGGGGGGACATGGGGTCCCCTTGCCGCAGCCCCCTCTTGCCCTTAAAATTCCCATGGAGAGTCCCATTAATGGAAATGGAAAAGGAAGGTGTCGTAACACACTCCATAATCCACTTAACAAATCTATTTGGGAAGCCAATGGTGAGAAGCACATTGTCCAAAAAGTCCCAAGAAATGGTGTCATAAGCTTTTCTGAGGTCCACCTTAATCATGGATCTAGGAGACATATGCTTTCTAGAATAGCCCTTTATGAGTTCTTGGGCTAAAAACACATTGTCAAGCATAAGTCTCCCATCAACAAAAGCCCCTTGGGCGGGATCAATAATCTCAGGAAGGTAAGGGATCATTCTAGCAGCAATGATCTTGGTAATAGTCTTGTAAATGACATTTGTACAGGCAATGGGCCTAAAATCAGCAGCTGTAGGATCATGAGAGGTCTTAGGGATAAGAGCAATAACCGTGTGGTTAATTTGCTTAAGTAACTTCCCAGAATTGAAGAAACCCTTCACGGCTAAAGTGACATCATGTCCTACAATATTCCAGTTATGCTTGAAGAAAGCCGAGGTATAGCCATCAGGACCAGGAGATTTGTTATCTCCAATGTCAAAAATAGCATTTTTGATCTCAATATCAGAAATAGGTGCTAACAGCTCACCAACTTTAGTGTTATCCAAGCATTTGCTTGAAAGAATAATGTCAGGATCAATAGCCATATTCGGACAAGAGTTACCAAAAAGGTTAGTGTAGAACCTAACAAACTCGCAAGAAGCTTTTTACTTTTTTCTATTACACACAAAAAAAGCACTTATTTTACCAAATACTACCAACTTTTACTTTTCAAAATCAATTTTTTCTCAAACACTACCAACTTTTACTATTAATCACTTTTTTACCAAATCATTTAAAAAAGTTAAAAGCACTTTCTAGTTGGGTTTGCAAACAGAGCCAAAATCTGATGTATAATCTTAGTTATATACTTATATTCTTAAATTTTACTCCGTATTATTTTAGAATAATGTCTTAATTACTCATTAACTACATTTTATTTACTCATTAACTCATGCAGTTTATGAATTAGGAAAAATTGACAAGAATAATCTCACCTTTCACTGGTCTTCTCATAATAATCCCACCTTTAAATAATCTCAAAATAATCTCACATTTGCACCTCATCTTCTTTCATTGGACCATGACCATGTTTTTTACTCTTTCTTTGAAAATTATACAAATAATCTCACCTTTCACTTTTTAATTATATCCTTACAAATGTGAGATTATTTATATAAGATTTTTAAAAAAGGTAAAAAACTTGGTCAGGGTCCAATGAAAGAAGATGAGGTGCAAAGGTGGGATTATTTAAAGGTGGGATTATTATGAGAAGTTCAGTGAAAGGTGAGATTATTCTTGTCAATTTTTCCTATAATTATGATATACTTCGTATTACACATGCATCAAACCAATAAGTAAATAACTCTCTTATGTCTCATTCAGTCATTTGAATTACGTTTATCCCACATGAATTAGTCAATTCAAATATTGTCTCAAACAACTCCACCTATTTCTGGTGCCTTTTTCTTTGATGGGTTTCTATGACATTATAATGTTGCATCGTGTGAATTTGGGGGTATCTCAAACTAATAGCATACATTACCTTTCATGTATTTTGTAAATCTTAATAAGTTACTTAGCACTATTTAAAAAAAAAAGTTACTTAGCAGCGCACTCAATGAAAGATTATACGTTAATAAAGTGATTCATTTTGGTCTTTTAGCACGACATAAAAAAACATAAAACCAATTTTGGGCATTACAAATTTACAATTCAACATCAGTGGAACTTGTTTATCCTTTATCAATGCGACTCCTACATCAGTGGAGGAAAGCAGTCAAAAATGGGGTATGCATTCACATAATCACATTGCTCTAAAAAGCACTAAATGTGTGTGGTAGAGTGGAGCGAAATACCTAAACAAGGTCAACCAAAAACTGAAAGATCAATTCGTAGAATTAAATCAGGTGTGGACTAGGTGAGAACTTTTAGAATATGTAAATGGGTTAGTCCTTGTCAACTACCATTCTGTCCAGGGACGGATCCAGGATTTCTATTCAGGGGGGCAAAATTTTTCGGTAGTGTAGGGTGTGAAAAAAATTTCGTTAGTGTAGTGGGGCGAAACTTTTTCCCTAGTGTAGCGGGGCGAATTTTTTCCGCTACTGTGCGACTAATTTTATTCAAAAAATGACATTAATACATACACATCCCCAACGACATTTAAATCTATTAAGTAGTACATTCTAAGTTTAAATTAGACGATGACAAAGATATCAACCAATACATTTTTAATAACTTCTACATTGTTTAACCTCATGAATCGGTTATTATTGAATTGTAATTTTTGTCCGGCCACCAAGGAGGGTGTTCGTGAGTCATGACTCATGAGAAGTTTTCTTAATATTACAATAGTAGTATGTATGATATTATTATTTTTAGAATAATATGCACCACATACACACACATATATGGTGCATATTATATTTTAATATTTGTATTAATGCTATAATAATTTAAAGTTTATTATCTATGCAATAAATTATTTTTAGAAAGCAAGAAGTAAATGAATTATGTAATTTAATGTCAATAAACATTTATATTTTGGATTCATTTCACGCGATCTAAAAACTGTGTAATTAGTGTGTCTGATATTTAATATTGTTTGATATATATTTTACAAAATCAAGTACTTGTTAAACAAAACTAGGAATTCTTATATAATAAGTATCCTAAATCTTAAACAACGAGTTATTCTATTGTTTATTTGTTTAAGTTATGTAATTATTTTAAATGTTCCTTCTTTTAAATCTTCAATTAAGTATTACATTATGTAACACTATATATTAATTTTGAAAATTAAAAGATAAGGGGGGCGAATCTAATTAAATTATGAAAGTTTTATGAAAATATTACATATATGGTAGAAAATTTTGAAAGTCCAAGGGGGGCGGTCGCCCCCCCCGCCCCCCCCCCCCCCCCCCCCCCTAAATCCATCCCTGATTCTGTCTATCACTGTTGTCTGTGGAGAAGAGAAATGAGATTTCGCTTTGGCCGTTGTGGGATACATGGTGGCATGGAGCGACTTTCAGACTATTTCTAACACATCTGCCTAAAGGAGAAGTCAGATTTGAAGAATCAGAAATTGGGGTTTGACTGTTCATAAAAAAACAAAAATAGAAAATATACTCTAATGTAAAGATGCTCAGTGAAAGCGTAGTAGCGTACCATATATGTAAACCTGTACCCTTTCTGTCTAAAAAGGATTTACAAGACATATTTACATGCTTTGGGGAGAGGAGTTAGAGAAGAAAATTTTAGTATTCCCCCTCCGAATGAATAGTAAATTCCACGCCACAAGAGGAAATGAAATCACTATAATCAAATATTTTCACTCTATTTTCTCCAGCCAAACTACTTTTTTCTTCTCTCTCCTACCTACTTCCTCTCCCTTTACGATAGCATGGTACATAGAGGTGGTGGCTTATACAGCACAATCTCCCTACAAAACTATGGCAGTGAAGAAGTCATTTCTTTCCTAGACTAATTAAACAAAGGAAGGCTACCAATCGACTAAGTACGCCAGTGAGCAAGAGCAGAATTAGACATCTAGTCCAGTCGTGAACATCGAAACCTAGTTTCATTAGTGCCCCACAGCGAGTTATCAGCCAAACTCCAGAGAATCTGAAAACAAGCCATAATATAACCGAAGCTTATCCCTGAAGTATATATAGTTTTTGAAACTGTTTATTTCCAATGGGAGGAAAAGATGTTGAAAAACAAACCTTTGTGCATTTGCTGTAACAAAGGCTTCTAAAGCCCACTTTGGATAACAAAACCTTGCTACATACTTCCCAACCTTGTCATTCGCATCTTGGTTTGCTACGAGAGTCAGAACGACAGGAAAAAGAACGGACCACTGCATATGTATGGGAGCAGGCATGAGATCTCAACATGATTTTAAAACTGAAGGATATGATACGCTTTAACTAAATGCTTAAGCTGATAGATGGATAGATAGACCACACATTATTTATTTTCTAATACAAATGCATATTTGGACTATTGTTATTGCAGAACATGAAGGGAAGATATATATACCAGTTGTGCAGGACCGGGTTGAAAGCAAACTGCAAATACATAGGCCATTCCGGAAACACAATACACAAGGCACAGAAAGACGATGTAATTCTCCCCAAATGTTGATCTGGGATTGTTGAAAAAATAGAACATTGAAAGGAAAACCAAGGGCTTTATGATAGTATTGAAAAGGTCCACACTATCCTTTGAAAGAAAATATGCTAGGCTGCTAATGCCGCTTGATCTCTCTCTCCAATACTCTAACTTGTCCGAGGTAAAGGATCTTAGAGCTGCAATCTTACATAGGAGTGCTGTGACCATGAAACACATCTGAAGAATGAGAAATCATAAACATATGCAACATTGGTTTATTGTTTGTTGGGTTAATTAATTAGTTCAACTTACAGATTGCAATAACACTATACATGTAGCCATAATATCCGAATGTGTCACCCTTTGTCTTTGAAAGAGTTCCTAAGCATGCTCCAGCCACCAAAAGGATCAGATAATCAGCTGCTTGTACTTTAGCTTCTCGCAATCTCTGCTTTATCAACCTGAGGACAAAAATTACAAAAACATTTCTGTCAACGGTAATATCTTCTAAGCCAGAAACTATCACATCTTTCCAGACATGCAAAGTATCGGATGGTAGAGGTTACAAAAGATTCTTAAATGGCTAATAATCTTCAATTAATTATATATGTAATTGATAGTGAGTGAGAAGAATTTAAAAACAATACCTTCCAATGTAGTACCTATACTGGCGCGCCACACCAGGAGTGACTCGATTAGATAAGTCATGTGATGCTAAGAAGTTGTGATGTATGGAGTCTCGCTTCTCGTGCCACATTGTTTCTCCTGCAGGAGGTTGGGGAGGTGGAGGGGCACCCTTTGATGATGATGCCATCTCATCACATAAGTGCATCATATCGGGGGGCACACGATATCCATTATGAAGCATCCATCGAACAGGAAGTTGTTCAATAGTCAGACCTTCAGGTGGTTTCTCAATTCCCTCAAGGATGTCAATGAAGTGGTCTGGAGGATTTACACGATCTGGGACAATTATTCCAAGGCCTTTAAAATATTCTTCTACTTTCTTTACAGATCCTTGGTACACAATAAGACCGCCTTTTGCGAGAAGTATCAAGTCATCAAACATCTTGTACAATGTGTAGCTGAAGTTGAGAAAGACCACAATGAAATTTTATATGTAAGAACTGAACAATGACACAACAAATTGAATGATGTGATCCATCCCAACTAAAATCCTGTGTAACCATCCCTTTTAGGTCTAAGATATTTTCTTTGACTATAGTGATAAAGAAGAGTGTTTACTGAATGTAAATACCAACCTTGGTTGGTGAACAACCATGCAGATGTTTACCCCTTCAAGAGCTTCACGCCTAAGAGCTTTAAGAAGTAAGTTGGAAGATGAACTGTCTAGACCAGATGTGGGCTCATCCAATATTAGCAATGAAGGTTCCATGACCATTTCCATCCCAACATTAACTCGTTTCCTCTGACCACCTGAGATTCCACGCTTTTCAACAGTCCCAACTAATGAATCCCTCACCCCCTGTAGACCCAGTGATTCAATGACCCTTTCGATGATGAGGACCTTGTCAGCCTTTGGAAGGTCTTGAGCTAGCCTTAATAATGCCCAAAAAACATGGAGCAATAAAACCATCAGGATATGAGAAATAACATATGTCAACCTTGAGCAAAATAAAAGCAAATAAATGCTACAGCTCCAACATTTGTATTCAAAGTTCAAACAAGAAAAGGAGGCAGTCATCTAATTGGCAATTTGGCATTAAAGATTATCAAGTTACACGTTTACCTTTAACACCTTTAAAAAGTTACCATATGGGATACCCATTGTTGATAAACCACTAAAAAATACAACAAAAAAACTGAAAAATAATTCAATTATTATTTGATTTATACCCCCTCCATATTTTAGTTTTCCACACTTTCCTTTTAAGGATGTAATTAAAAGTTTGCTACACTTTCCCTTTTTGGTACGTTTTTCCTTTGAAAATACTCAATTACCCTTACTTTTCTACTTTTTATCTTCCCTTTCATACTTTTCCACCCTCTCTCAGTCTCTCCTACTTTTTCTACACTTATCATTACTCGTACTATTTCCTCCTTAAATAATATGTCAAAACCTAATGTAGCAAACTTTAAAATACGGAGGGAATAGTCAGTAAAAATTCAAGCCTGTGTATATCAATATGAGAGGCCTTATTTACTTTTTCCCCTTTTCCTTATATATCCATTTAGATAGATAAACAACTGACAAAATACCTGCATCGTGCACTGAAGCGGAGGTTCTCTTCCACTGTCAGGTTGCCATGAACTATATCATCTTGGGGTACAAAACCAATTATTTTCCTGTAACACTGAATGGATACATCCTTCCCATTTATGAGGATTGAGCCTGTTACTGTGCAACCAATAATCTTTCCTACCACTGCAGAAAGAAACGTTGTCTTCCCAGCACCTGATGGACCCATGACTGCGGATATTCGGCCAGGCATTATTTTTCCAGTAACACTTCTCATCAAATGCTTATGCTTCTTTTTAAGAGTTATTGTTAGATCTTTGAAGGCAATCTCTAGAGTGGGCCTAGTCTTAATATCTTCATCTGTGGCCATTGAAATTATCCCCGAGAATGTCATGTTTTGCTGCACTTGCTCCAAAGCTTTCTCTTTCTCAAGTTGACCATATGCGTACTTAAATATTTGGGTACGACTATGCAATTGTTTAGCCTTAAGAGCTTGCTTCTTAATATTTTTATCCCCAATCTGCATGTGGAAGCCTTCCTGATTTTCTGGATCCTTTTCAATTGAATGCATCATTTTTGTGAGGTTATTTGTTTCCTTTTTCTTTTCTGCTGCAGGGTCTTTATGTGGTAGTGATGGGCCCGACAGATCTGCTTGCTTTGTTGTATTATTACCTTTCCTTGAGAATGTGCGAGAGAATTGTCGTAATCCAGCTAAACCCCCAGCCTTGGCTACATCTTTTGCAGACTTCCACCTTTCCCTTGCATGTGCTGTTTCCCGGGCATGTTTTGCTGCAGCTTCCCTGGATTTCGCCATTCTTGCATACCGAGTTGTTATGACTTGATCAGAGAAATTATAGAAGATTATAAGTATAAAACTTAAAGCACCCTACATGTTCAAAAAAAAGAAAGGAAAGTCAAATTCTGCCTATAGAACTTGCAGCTTGTTAGTTAACTATGAGCATTTAACACACTTGAAGAATCTATTTCAAAACCGCATAACATATTCTACAAGATCAGTGAAGGGATACTTGAGATATTTATTTTGTTTTGAATTTGATACGCACTATAAATTACTCAGGAAACAAATCAAACTTCAATCACTATTTAGTATTTTCCCAACAAAAATATGAAGTTATAAAAGAGAAATTCACTTTCACTTACAATTATCATGAACCCAAAAGCGTGCAGGTTTTGGATCTCCGATTTTGGATTGCATGTACTCAACTTAAAGCATGCTGCATTTTTTTTTCCAAAATGTCAATTTCTAATGGAAGGCAATTATCCATGGTCTATAACATAGAATAATTAAAAAAAATGAAGAGGATGTGGTAAAAAGGAATCGCCAAACTAGGATGTATTCAATGATCGAAATGGACGGAGTGTATCAGTCACTAATGCTCTAGGTATTTGCATGCATGGAAAAGAACCCCCACAGTAAGGAATGAGCTATAGTATAGGCATGACATCTATATTACTGTTTCACATCCTTTCATTTTTAAATCTTTCTATGTTTATCTTCCTTTTCATGTGTTTAGAGATGAGGAGGAGACATGCCTTGACAGAAACTAGTTCCATTTTTTTCATTTATTGGCAATTGTTGCCAATAAACTACTACATACGATCTCGAGCTACTCCTATCAAGTTAATTTTTTAGAATGAAGTATCAGGTCTTAACATGGTATCATCATTTTCATTTTCATTTACCCCAGTGTTGCAAAGGCTCCCACCTACGGTGGGGTAAGGGGGGTCGGATGTACGCAGTCTTACCCCTGTACTAAAGCACAGAGAGACTGTTTCCAGATGATCCATAGTGAAAATCGCGTCCAAAATTGCAAGGACTGACTGCTGATTCATAACAAAGAAGCGCAGATAGTTTAGTGAGCCATTTTGATTCCATCATATTTTGAAGCCAAAAAATAATGAATCTTTGGCTCCATTGCAAATGATGGAAAATCTTAACATGGTATAAGAGCCAAATTAATCCATGGTGCGGGCTGAAAATGAAAAAAATGATGACACTATATACAATTTTAGGCTACCACTCCTATAAGGTGAAAAGACTTGATGTGCTCTCTATTTTCTAAGACTTGGAAATCTACTGCACAAAAATGTAACAAGATGAAGTCATTATCATCATTACCCCAGTCCCACACCTTGTTACAAGATGAAGTAAATCAAAAAATCAAAAACAAAGATCCACTTAACAGAAATTCAGCAATTTAGATCTTAACCTTTTGGCTTTGTAGAACCCTTCATGCAGTAATGCCTGAAAGTGCATTTAGCATATCAGTTATGTTATGTGATAACACAAATAAACATGACTAGGAAAACAACAGCAGTACCCTTTGGAGCAGGGAATCTTTTGGGTAGTAGAGGGGCAAAAAGATCCTGCTGAACAGAATAATCCCTCACTACTGGTGTCACCTGCCCATATGTCAGCTCCACCACAGGTATGGTTTATCTTGCCAGGAGGTATTTGGTACTGATACCTGAAAATTTTATTTATTTGCTAACATGTATAAAACTGCTAGCCGATCATATACATTATAGAAAAAATGTATTTGACCTCTTTTGTAAACATTAAACTTGTAAGTGTGACTTACGGATCACATACACCGGTTGCTTTGTTGAGTGTAGCGCGAGGGCAGTAAGCACCCAAGGGGCAAGCTATGACAAGATTGTAACAACAAAAAACATGCAGATTAGTAATCACTAATTTTTTGTGTAGTTTCTCAAAAGAATAGAGCATTAATAGTAAAGAATAAAAAAGAAAATGCAAATCAAGCGACCGGAATTAAAATCTGCATGGTGATGATGCCTTGTGATTTATATATTCACTGCTTCATATACGCAAAAAGAAAAAGCATGACTAACTTAATTATTTGTTGCCTTTTGATGAGTATGTTAGTAAATTATTTTTCCATACCCTTCCCTGATATATTTACATCTATTTTATAGGAATGAGTGAGAGTTAACACTAGAAACTTCAATCAAGCTAAATAAGCATTACTCTCCCTCTGCTCCAAAAATAAAAACAGTTTGTTTGCAATACTAAATTCAGTTTTACAAACAATAGTAAAAGTGACCACTTTTAAATAGAACATTGGTGTATAGAAGAACTCACGTATCATGCAAGTGAGACCTCGAGGGCAAAAGAATCCCTCACAACAAGGCTGACTATTAAGAGTTCGCTCAGGTACATCCTTGGAGTTCTTAAGATCCACTTTTTCATCCTCAGGAACACTGCAAGACCATCCTGGTTCACATCCAGGAACCCAGGATGTCAAATTACAATTTCGGTTGGGTTTTAAGAATTGAACCTCTGCTGATCTTGTATCCAAAAAACTGGTGAAGTAGAATTTTATCTCTGCAGCAGTACATAGCCGTTGTCTTACATCTGTTCACATGCCCAAGCGACTGTTAAGGATTAGGAGAGAGGTAGATGTAAAAAACATTGACCTGTCTAAAGAGCTTCTATGTAGATCTGTACAAGTAAAACAACGGAAATGGCAGAGTTGGTTTCTCCTAGAAACATGCATGGTTTGTTTTCTATCACCTATCATGACTAAATTCTATTTTCATGACCACCTTGTCCCATTATACCTGATCTTACATACTATTCATTGGTTAGTGTTAGTCTGCATCTTTGTTCTTAGCTTAATTTCTGTACTATCTTTTCTCATGAACAAAACAAAATAGTCATGCCACTACTTTTTTTATATACGGAATAACTCTTAATGTACTTTTTAATTATGCCAGTTTTATTTTGATTATATTATACTCCGTACACCGTATCAAACATTATAAAAAAAGGAATCATAAATTTCTTCAGTCTTGCCTGTACACATAAAATGGAATGGTGGGAGCAATAATATCCATACTCGTGGAAAAAACTATTGCTTTTGATGAAGATTTTGGAACTTTATCTGTTTCAATTAAGAAGGGCGTACCTTAAGGCCATTTAGGATAAATCTTGGCCACTATATTCTTTTGCATGGAATTATAGGGTTAACTACAATTAGTTGGGATTAACTATTAAGTGGTGATGATATAGTTCTCCCTTGAATGTAATAACTGTGGCACTAATCTAACGCCTCACAATGCAATGTCTAATTAACCTTTGCCACCTACATTGTTTCCTGGAAATTAAAAGTATAGTTGAAGGAGTACCTTTTGTCTGTTTATAACAGTTACTCATGAAATCCAAATTTTTTGAAAAATTGAAGGCTGCATTTACATCTGCATCTCTGGAATCAGTCAAACAGAAAAAAGGTTGACTGTGAGTATTACTGTATTAGCTAATAGGGAGTATATAATTATCATTAATTAATCACATAGAGAGAAACTCACACATCATTAATGCAAAATCCTAGCTCCCTGTTGATATCTTTGTTGTAAACCTTTGTAAGGTTAGAAATTTGAGTATATATGAGAGATGAAACAATTGGCACTGCAGCAGCTTGATTGCCCTCACCAATATCACCATCGGATTCATCCCCATCATCACACCAAACCGGCCCCAATGATGCTAAAGAAAGAATCAGAAACAGCAAACATGGAACGAAAATCCTCGTTCCGCTCATTTCAATCATTCCAACGCATCCTCCATAACTCATTCAATAGGCCGGAAATGTATAAGTTTTATTTGAGCTTTGCCACCAAATTTTTCGATTTGCTATATGCAATTTCCGTTCGATGTACACCTCGCGATGTGGATGAGTTGTTATGGCAATGAAATGGAGGCGGCGAGTTAGATGGGCAAGGTTGCAGCCCTGCGGGGAGCTTTTGGAGGTGAAGATGGAGCCAAAAGGAAAATGCATTTTGGTGAAGTTGTTTTGGGGATGAGTTGGGAGAGAGACGTTTAGAGTATGGGAGGAGCTCCATGGTTTCCGAAGGAACAAGAAATGGCGGTTGGGAGACGTTCGTGCCTTTTTTGTTGTGATGGAAAGATAACCCCATTTTGGTCCATTCACTTTCATCGCATTTTCAATTCAAGTATGCTAGTTGACTTTCATTCATTTTCCATTTCACTTTCTTTCTTGGCCATAAGTCTCTACCTTCTAACTTTTGTACCGTTCAAAAAGTCTCTAAAAGCTTTTAATTATATGTTATCATGACAATTTTTAAAAGTTTTTCAAAAATTAATATATCTTTTTTGAGATGCTACATGAAGTAACATCTGAAAGAGCTCGTGACTTTTTTTAACATCTTTTTTGGCATGACTTTTAGTCTTAACGACTTGTATATCAAACCGAACTAAATCAAACAATCTTCTTTTTACCAAACAGCTGCTACCTTTTCTTTATAAAATCTTTTCAGTCACAAAAACCTAGTTGTTATTAAAAATCTCACAAAAGTATCTTTTCGACTAATTGTGCCAAACATACCCTAAGTGTAGCTTGAGTTCTTTAATCAAGTCATGCTTAGGAATTGTCAATTCCAATCGAGTTTCAATCGATTTGAAAAATATTGCTTCACTTGAGTTTGAGTTTACATCAAGTTGAAATTGTATTCGAGTTTTATCTATGTTAAAATTTAATTTCTAAACAAAGAATTTGATTTGTTCTCATGTATATGCACATATGTGCAATCATCAATAATTATTTAAATATAAAATCACTATTTTAAATTAAGACGAAATAAGACTGATTAATTTTGATTAAATATACTTGACCGTCATCTCTGAATGCCTGAAGTACAAATAACTCTTATAAAATATTGTCTAAAACATAAATAGTCTTTAATACCCCATATATTTTTAGTAGAATGTTTCATGTATGATCCCATACTATGGATATATGATGCAATGTCAAATACGGAGTATATGTATGCACTAGGAAGGTCAATAATTAACACATAATCAGGTAGCTTGTGAATCTTTAGATTGAAGTTAGTATATAATTTGAACTTGACTTGGTTTGATTCGAGTTGAGTTCGAGTACGGGTCATCTTTGAATCATGTCAGACTAGGTTGGAACAAGAATTGAATCATTCTCAAATAACTTGCAAGTCGGCTTACTCGATTATCATCCCTAGGAGAGTGGATAGAACGAGGACAGAATAATGGATTTCTATCATTTTTATTTTAAATGGTAGGTTTCTTTCTTTGTTCAGATAAAGAAGTAGTTCTATTTTTTGTTCAATAGAAATCTAGAAGTAATATATTTGTCATTTTTCATTTGGGAATGGTTTTTGATAAATAAAAAGAGTTTAAGAGTTTGATTAACATACTGCAAGTCCGCAATCAACAAGTCCTAAATTTCGTGATACTATTGATTTAAGCATACCGCTGTGATGGATTATTTAAACAATCGTGCTACTTGTACATGCTGGGTTACACGTCGGTTTACACGTTCAAGTGTGATTGTTTATGTGTAGATATAAAAAATTTAATTTTTTAGTATACAGAAGTGACTATGACCCCAGAAAATCAATTGCCTACGCACATACAAATTGGATTGACAAACAGTCAAACATTAACCTTTGCTTAAATTAAAATCAACTAATACAAGTAGCTTAGCATGTAAACCAACTTGTACAAGTAGCATTTATGTTATTTAAAACTCTTGCAAGCACTCAAGTGCTCATCAACAACTCTCAAATTTAATAGACCTATTTATTCATTTTTATAAATGAAAATTACTACGGACGTGTTTATTATTAGTTCAACTTGATTAACAAATAAATCTAAAGCATTTTTATGAGCACATTCTAGTCAAAGTATTTTCCCCCACCCCTTCATTGTGTAGAGTAGTATGTGAAATTATGAATGAGTTTACCCAACATTTAGCCCTCACATTATATTTATATTAGCTACAGTTTTACAAATTGGTAAATTGCATTTGATCTCAAATTTATGATTACGATTATACCCTCTCAATTCATGTAGAAGTAATTAAGAACCATGAAATATTGCACACACGTTCCTATATGATAGTCAATGGGATGCAAATATGCCTATTGCATGAAGGGTACGGTAGACATAAAAAATCTAAATGAACTGGTACTTTATCAAGGTATCAAACCAAATATCATATATATCCAAATCATTCTATACATTTTTGTCCTAAATCAAAGCTGTACCATTTGAATCGGGTGTGAAATCGATTCTAGATTTTGAGAATCGAAAAATATCATACTTGATTTTTATATTTTTCTGGATCATTTAAAAAAATATCTTGTGTAATCAAATCAACAATTTTAATGTATATTACCACCTTGTAGTAGTTCTAGTATACATCCATTCGTAAGGTTAACGGGGGCAAACACTTTTCTGCTAGTGTAGGCCGAGGGGTGAATTTTTTCATTCGTCCCCAAATTAACTAAATGTGTGTATTTCAAAATGGCATGATATCGAAGTGGTGTTTTCCTTTTGAAAGAAAACAATCATTTCATTGTGTAATTTATACTCCGTAGTAATTGTTTTCTAAATAAAAAATTTAAATCCATCTTTTGACAAATAAAAAGGTATTGGAATACATCGTGGGTGACCAAATTAAATGGAACATCCTGCCCTAAATCCAGAATGTTGTAGGGATAAATCGATCGATCACGTCAACATCGCCGAGTAACATAGATGTTAGCTCGCGTCATTGATTTATTCCAGTAAAGTTTTCCTTTTATACACATTACAAGTAAGCGTTTGAGTTAACTTTTTTCACAGACAAGATTAAAACTACACTTTTTAGCATTAATTAATGAAGCGGGAAATTGATTAACTAAAGATTAACTAACTCGAAGAATTGATGTAATCGCACAAAGTCAATCTTCACGGACTACGTGCTTATTAAAACTCGCGTTAATAAGCGGCGCATAAAATAAGAACTGTTATAAGCTCATGTTTACTTCAAAGGATTTAAAACACCGTTTAACATTAAAATGTCCAAAATAACCTTATACATACATAAACACATAAACATTTATGTACTACGTAATATAATATGTGGAAGACACCTCGTACATTTAAAAAAAAAAAAACTACGCCTTTACTCTTATCACCTTCCCCTACCTTGACCCTACCCTACCCTACCCTAACCCCAACCGATCCCCACCCCACTGAGTACCCCCTACTCCTTATCACCCATATCCCCTACCCTGGGGGCCGGGGTGGGATCGAGGTAGGGGCAGGTGGCAGGGGTAAGGTAGGGGTAGGGTAAGGGGGTGTGTGGGGTGGGGTAAGGGTCGAGGGGTAGGGTTAAGGTAGATGGGTAAGTGGTGGGGGATGGGTGGGGTGGGGTCGAGGTAGGGGAAGGTGGTAGGGGGCTAAAGGGGTAGGGTCGGGGTAGGGTAAGGGGTGCAAATGGGGTATGGTACGGGTGGGGTGGTAAGGCTAGGGGTGGTTGGGGGTAGTGGGGGTAAGGGGTGTGGTCGAGATAGGGATAGGTGGTAGGGGTAAAGGGGTAGGGGTTGGGGTTGGGGTAGGGGTAAAAGGTTAAGGTAGGGGATGGTAAGTGGGGTGGGGGTCGGCCGGTCGGGGTAAGGCCGTGTAGGGGAGGGGTAGTGGGTAGAGGGGTAAAATAAAATAGGGTAAGGGCAAGGGTAAGGGTAATGGTAAATTCGGAAAATGAAAATGCTTAGAGGTCGTTCGGCAACATTGTTTTTCAGCTTATCAGTCAACTTTTTCACCAAACACGTAAATTTTGCTTTCACGTGCTGAATTGTGTAATAAGCAGAAAAAGTAAGGTTGATGTTGTTTTTTTGGCTCTATTGGCTGAAGTTAATGTAGATGACCATTTTAGCTATTTTTACATATAATTTTTTCTTTATTTTATTAATAAAATATAATTTAAAAATATTTTTTCTTAAATCAGCAGAATCAGTCAATGCAGCCACTTCAGCCAGAACTTCATAAATTTCAACAGAATCAGCCAAAACAGCCGATTTTTATGCTACCAAACGGACTCTTAAAGTGCCGTTTAATTAATACATGAGAGTGGTATGTTTAGCAAGCGGCACTTTAAGCATCTTTTTCGGTTAGTAAGCAACTTTTTAAACAACTTGCCTATTTACTTCACCCGTTTTACTAACCTAACCGTAACTTTAGTAGCGAAGTAAACACCTCATAAAGTTTGCAACTTATTTGTTAGCATGTTAATAATTTTAACTACGACCCGTAGCTAAAAAATGAAAGCAAATAAATTTCTTAACTAATAAGATGGGTGGCAACTGGCACGTCAATTCATTCTAGCTATAAATTATAGCTCAACTATGAAAGAAAATAAAGTTCCTTAAAGTATGGCTACTTAATTAGGTGCATTGAAAAACTATGTCTTTACAAAAATTGTGAAATGTGGATTAGAAGACAAGAAAGCATCCAAATCATCAATTTAATCAGAGTTTAAGTAGTAGGTTCAAAACTTTTCCATAGAGCTTAGAGCCAGAGGAGATTAGATCAATCAAACACTCATAAAAGTGTGAAGATTTGAAGGTGTGTGTTGAGGAGATTTAGATAGCAATGTACTGATGATAAAAAAAATAAAACAGGTAATAATTAATAGAAAGAAAACTGACATAAATTATATGGTACAACCGGTTGTACCATGCGCATTGTACATCCGGGTATTTTAGTTTATATTTAATGAATATATAGCTCAAATGAAACGAGTATTATTATTAAAATATAAAATTAGCACAATAAATATTTTTGATGACAATACAATGATAATATATTTAAATGAATAAGTTAATTTGTAGCATATATACTATATATATATATATATATCACTGGTAAGTCATAGCACTTTATTGCACACTTCTATACTAAATTGTGCTACCAAAACAATGATTTAATATTAATGCCCATTTCTTTTAATGATATACTCATTAGATAAAATATGCTGTTGTATGGTGAATATCATACAAATGAGTGTACGGTATACATACTCAAAAGTCAAAACTGACTACAAACCTAAATTGGCCGGCTCAGGATCAAAATGTAACAAGTACTTTAGACCCCCATGACGATTTAAGTTGATAATGTTAGAGGAAGTATAAAAACCGGATTACAATTAAACCATAATTGAGTGATTGACCCGTGATTGAGTGAACAATAATTATAAAATGTCATACCACTCATACCGGCCTTGTTTGGCAAACAACTGTTAGCGGTTAGATGTTAGCTGGTTATGTTAGCGAATTATCAATAGCGGATTGTGTTAGATGTTTTGATTGGCTGATAATGTTAGTTTATTCTGGATAAGTGTTTGGTGAAATTAGCTGTTCATGAATAGCTATTATATACCGTACAAAAGACTTATATGGACATTTATTAATGGCTAAAGGGTCAAATAGGTACATGAACTAACTTAAAGTGTTCAATTAGCCCCTTATATAGGAGATTCTGCCCGGCCGTCGCCAATTGGGGCGGTTCCCGGTGGATTTTTTTGATGAAATTTTTTGAGCATCTTCTTCATTAAGTCTACTTTACCCATATAAAATTTCAGCTAAAAATTAAATCGGGAAGGTAGTCAAATGATTTTCTGAAATGTACTGCGCTGTTTAACTGCGCAGTTATCTTCAAAAAATCATTTGACTGCATTCCCGGTTGAATTTTTAGCTAAAATTTGGTATGGGTAAACTAGACTTAATGAAGAAGATGCTCAAAAAATTTCATCAAAAAAATCCATCGGGAATCACCCCAATTGGCGACGGCCGGGCAGAACCTCCTATATAAGGAGCTAATCGAACACTTTAAGTTAGTTCATGTACCTATTTGATCTTTTAACCTTTATTAATTTGTCTATCGTTTTTACTACGTAGTATTGCTTATTAGTAATCTTCGCTTGATAATTTATAAGCTCACTTTTGGTGTTAGAAATTGGAATAGGTAACTTATAATTATAATATCATATCATAAAAATACAAAGCCTCAATAAAATATATCATCTGACAATTACTAGCATCAATTAAATACACGTTCACTCTTTTGACTAAAAAAGAATATTCAATTTGGCCATTTTTTAATAATTAATTATTTAAAGTCAATTTATAAAGTACTCCGTATAAAGAAGTCAATGAACAAATTTCAAAACATGTAAACAAATAAATACGGAGTAAGTAAAAGCCTAGCATTGTTAAAAAACTAAAAGCCTAGCATTTTAAAACTAGAAGAGTAGCATATCTTCACACCGAATTGTGAAATGTGGATTAGCGAAGTCAAGAAAGCATCCAAATCATCAATTTAATCAGACTTTAAGTAGTAGGTTCAAAACTTTTTCCATAGAGCTTAGAGGAGATTAGATAAATCAAACACTCATAAAAGTGTGAAGATTTGAAGGTATGTTGAGGAGATATAGATAACAATGAAGTGATAAAAAACATGTAATAATTAATAGAAAGGAAACTGACCGTAAGTTATATTGTATACCATGTGCATGGTACAAGCGGGTATTTTAGTTTATACTTAATGAGTATATAGCTTAAATGAAATGAGCATTATTATTAAAATATAAAATTAGCACAATAATTTTTTTTTATGACAATAAAATGATAATATATTTAAATGGATAAGTTAATTTGTATTTTGTAGTATATATTTCACATGTAGATCATAATAATTTATTGCACACTTTTATACTCAATTGTGCTACCAAAACAATGATTTAATACTAACGCTCATTTGTTTTAAAGATATACTCATTAGGTAGTACTACATATAAAATAAAATATCCGATTATACGGTGAACATCGTACAAAAGTGAGTGTCCAATATAGGGAAATTTGTTAAAAGAGTCTTGTAACTTTGGCCAATAACCAATATTGATCCTATATCTTTACATATATACTTGCAAAATAAATCCTTCAACTAATATACTCCGTCCGGTTTTTATTAAACTTCACACTTTCCTTTTCGGGACGGTCTAAAATAAACTTCACACTTGCTTATTTCCTTTTTTGGCAAAGAAATCTACATCAAAACAGTGCCAAACAGTGCCAAACAGTGTCTCAACAGTGCCAAACAATGTCTCAACAGTGCCAAACAGTGTCTAACAGTGCCTCAACAATGTACTCTACAGTAAAGTCAAATTTCTTTCCTTATTTTGTATGAAGTCAAAGTGTGAAATTTAATAAAAACCGGAGGTAGTATTTGTTCAATTTGAGGACATTGCCGTCGGAAAGTTACATTTTGGCCGGAAAGTTACATGTCAATCTCCCGTTGTAATCTTTTCCTAACGTTTGCTGCTGACTTGGATGTGGGCCCCTTTTATAACTTATTCCCAAACACTTCATTGTGCTCTGATCTCCCAAATCCCCCATTAGAACAATAAAAACACAAAACCTAAGAGAAGAACGGAGGCTTCGTAATTCTTGGTCCGGCTTCTCCACATATGGAAGGAAGGTGAGTGTGTGTTCCTCTATAGTGCAAATAATATAATGGCTCAGGCAAGGATCTATGAAATATCATTGTGGTAAGAAGGCCGGTGTTTCAACTTCATAGACTGATATATGACGAGGGAAGGAGGTTCCATGTGTGCTCCAGAAACAGAGTAAGAACTCTAAACCTTTTAATTTTGTAGGTTTTGAATTTTGTTTGAAAAAATTAAATATTTTATATGTAGTATTACTTTGATATTAGAGAAAAAAAATCTAATGTTAAAGGTTCTAACAAGACATTGGAACAAGAATAATAGTTAATTAGCAAAACTGACGAGTTGTTTACAAATGGAGGCTTTTAAAATTGATAAGTGTCAAGAATTTTAAAAAAAATAGCATTTTTTTCTTTATGTTCATTTTTACAATTTCGTATTTGGAATTTATAAGAAATAAATTGAAGATGTATTATCTACTACTCCGTATTCAGTTTAATCTAGCTATTTTTTTTAATGTTTTATGAATCAGAGAGTGCTTTCTTTATGTGTAGGATGTTTTAAAATAAGGAGTGTTTGGGAGGGAACCAAAAACAGGGTCTCAAGTCTAGGTCAGCTAGGCCATATGAAAAAAATATGAACAATTGGCGCTGATCTGTTAATTTCCGGCGGAATTATTACTTTCCGACATAAATGTCCTGAAATTGGACAAATATGTTAATTAGAGGACGTATTATGCAAGTAAATGAAGTTAGAGGATCAATATCGGGCACCACCAAAAGTTACGGGACTAATTTTACAAAATTTCCCTCCAATATATAAGTATATTCGTACTCAAAAGTGACTAGAAATCTAAATGTAACAAGTAACAACTACTTTAGACCCATGACGATTTAAGTTGATAATGTTAGAGGAAGTATCAAACCGGATTACAATTAAATCATTTTGACCCGTGATTGAGTGAACAATAATTATAAAGAGCTCGTTTAGTGGCACGAAAATCGGCTGATTTGAGTGATTCTGCTGAAATTCATTAAGTTTTGGTTGAAGTGGCTGCATTGACTGATTCTGCTGATTTAAGAAAAAATTATTTTTAAATATATTTTATTAATAAAATAAAGAAAAAAATATATGTAAAAATAGCTAAAATGATCATCTACGGTAACTTCAACCAATACAGCCAGAAAAGTAACTTCAACCTTACTTTTTCTGCTTATTACACAATTCAGCGCGTGAAAGCAAAAATTACGTGTTTGGTGAAAAAATTGACTGATAAGTCTGATAAGTCGAAAAACGGTGTTGCCAAACGGTCTCAAAGTGTCATATAACAGTAGGGAAAAGGGTCAAATAGGCTCCCAAACTTACATAAAAAAGTCAAATAAGCCCTTTTATAGGAGGCTCGGCCCGGCCGTGGCCATTTGGGGCAGTTCCTGGTGGATTTTTTTGATAAATTTTTTGAGCATCTTATTCATTAAGTCTAGTTACTCATACCAAATTTCAGCTAAAACTTCAATCAGAAAGGCATTCAAATGAATTCTTGAAGATAATTGGGCAGTTAAAAGCGCAATTATCTTCAAGAATTCATTTGAATGACCTCCCGATTGAATTGTTAGCTGAAATTTGGTATGAGTAAACTAGACTTAATGAATAAGATGCTCAGAAAAATTCATCAAAAAAGTTCATCGGGAACCATCCCAAAAGGCGAAAGCCGGACAGAGCTCCTATATAAGGTCTTATTTGACTTTTTTATATAAGTTCGAGGGCCTATCTGACCATTTTCTCTATAACAGTATAACCCACATGTTTCGCGCATGAAAGGACCAATTACTTTTCTATGACCATCACAATTCATATTTAATCTCCAATTTTGTAGTCCGTATATCCAATCTCATGCTCATATATTTCGTCTATTAAGAGATTTTTTTTAGTGTTAATGAAATGAAACTTAATTATTTAAAAATTAGACATAAGTTAACATTATTAAGTTACCACTATAATAGACTTAATAGTTACACCTAGGAAGTCACATGTTAGTAAACTAGACTTAATAAGATGATTGGTCGGGTAAATTTTTTGTTCACATTTCAAACATCTATTTATTTGATAAGTATGTGCATGGGTGGAACACTTTCCGCATCTGCTTTTGTTCGTTTCCCAGTTTCAAATGTGAATATGATCCATCTTTCCATCGCAGTCATGTAGTATCGATAATGCTCTACTTCACTTTCTGCATTTTCTTCAAATTATTTTGCGAATCTTTGCACCGCTGTCCCCAATTTCGACGGTCGCGTCACTGTCAATGAGCTTTAGTTTTCTACGCAGAATGATGATGATATTTTTATTATCATTTATCATTATTGCTTTAATTTCAAGGCCCCCTTTGTGCTTTATATAGTGATGTGGCGGCTATCCACATGCATTCATTTATTTCTTGTATCTTCTTGTTGGTTTTTTTTTGGTCCCTGCTACCTTCTTGCTTTCGGACACCTGGTTTTCAATCTCCAATCTGATCAAAGATTAGATTTTTTTCTTTAATGCAGTCTTGTCACGAACCCTTCAATTCTCTGCAAGCGGATCAGAATTGAAAATCCCATTGGTAAGTTTCTTTCTCTTTAATTTTGAGCGGCTGAGTCATCTTCTTGCCCAGACTTCCCTGTGCCATAATGGTCAAACCAAGCAATAAAACAATCCAAAATCAATAATTAAATAGTTAAGACAATGAACTAATAAGATGTTCAATGGTTACATACATAGATTCTGTATTTGTGTTCTGCTCTGACATGGTTAATTGCTTATGGAAGTATTTAAGAGTTGCAAGCTGTGATTTTCAATGAGATTTTTCATTTTCTGTTTTGGACTTGCATGTTTACTCACCCAGCTTTGTGTGGGTGATGGGGGTGGGGGTGATGTGAAGCTAAACTAATGCATTTAGCTACACTGGCAGGAGGAAATGAAGTGTTTCATGCCCTGCATTGCTGAAACTAAGGAAGAAGAAGAATCAAGAACAGTGAAGCCAAATTTGGCTACCCCTTCACCTTCTGCCTTTCTTGATGAGCATGATCTTGCCTCTACTTCTCTGAATGCCTCAGACACCACCACCAGTACAGAATCTTCCAGGAGCAGGAATACCCAGTTTCCTAATTCATCCAAACGCTCCTCAGACCTCAGGCAATTTACATTCTTAGAACTGAAAGAAGCAACAAAAAAGTTTAGTAGATCAACCAAGATTGGGGAGGGTGGGTTTGGATCTGTCTACAAGGGAACAATTAGGAGTTCTGAAGATCCATCTAGACAAGTTGATGTGGCCATAAAACAACTTAATAGCACTGGAAACCAGGTAAGACACTTTTCTTTTGTGATATCCCCCTTTTTATTCTTGTTTCTTTTTTTCCATTTAATTTTCTATGTGCAAAAATAAAAAGGGACATAAAGAATGGGTGACAGAAGTTAATGTTCTTGGAGTGGTTGAACACGAGAACCTTGTCCAATTAATTGGCTACTGCGCGGAGGATGGTGAACGGGGAATCCAGCGCCTTCTGGTGTATGAATATATGCCTAACAGCAGTGTGGACAATCATCTATCAGCTAGGTCAGAAACAACTCTTTCATGGGCCACGAGGTTAAGGATAGCTCGAGATGCTGCTCGTGGCTTAGCATATTTACATGAGGGCATGGAATTTCAGGTGATTATTTGGTCTGTTTGGAACAACGAAAACGCTAGGGAAAGAAAACTGTCTAGAAAATACAAGAGAAATTTGGAAGGACATTTGTTGAAAAAGCAATGGTTCAAATTCAATAAACTTTGATTTAATAATTTTTTAATTGCTCATTTATTTGTTTATTTATTGGTATTACATAAATACTTAGACAACTATACATGTGCTTTTCAAAAATAATAATCATATTTCACTTCCCTTTGTGTTTTCTTAAGTAGATCCAAACATAGATCACATGATAGGAACCAGATTCACAACAGGAAAAGTGATGTCTTTTAAGAAGGAAAATGTATTGAATCAGAAAAGGAAAATACAGATGAGGCAAGTTTGAGAGTGCCTCTTCTCTCCCAGTTCCTATTCCCAACCCAATTTCTGCCTGCCTATTCCTCCTCCCTCAGCTGCTATTAATACTACCTATCCTATCATGAGGTTGCCTCAGCATTTTATTTACAATTTTTTTACTCCTATTTGACCTTTATTCTACTCTCTAGTACTCCGTACTATACGTAGTATTTATTATAAGTCCTCTTCACCTGACTGCCCGGATCTCTATCATCAAACCATATCATTAATGTTTTACACTTTCAATGCTTCAAAAACTTTGATGCTTAATGATCTGCTCTCTTCGTCTGATTTTTCTAGTCCAATCTAGCATTGTCTGTTATAGTATAATCTTCTCTGGGCTCATTTTGTGTGTAATATATTGTGTTGCAAAATATAGTATGGTCTAGTACTGGAATCGGATGAGGGGAAAAGTCCTAAATATTGATTCATCTTTAGAGTTTAAAGCCTACAATTTTTCACACATCCTTCTTTCCAGATTAGCAATCTACATGCAAACATGAAATGTCCTCTCTGTTTGTAAAATGCAGATCATCTTCAGAGATTTCAAATCAGCAAACATTCTCCTAGACGAGCAATGGAACGCAAAACTGTCGGACTTTGGGTTAGCTAGGCTGGGCCCTTCAGAAGGACGTTCTCATGTCTCAACCGCAGTATGTTAGTTTTGAACATAGAACATGGAAGTAGTAATGTCTGTATATTCCATCTTCACTGTCCTGAATCTAAATGTTATTGATCAACAATTGGATATTTGTGTTCTTTAATTTACAGTAGCAAATCCACACTAAAAGATCGACTCCAATTGGTCAGGGTACCTAAAACTTTATAAACGCATAGGTCTCTAATATTTTGATTTGGGACTATTAACACGAGGACTACGGCGTGCCTTCCAACACCATCATTGTCTCATGGTGTGGGAGGGTACACCCTTATCAACATAACATTCACCACCATATTTGAGAACATGGTGAGTTTAGTTAAATTGTCGAGACTTACATGAATACATGAATTTCATTGGTATTCTTTTCAATCCAAATTTAGTGCACAAAAGAGTCAACAATATATGTTCATGATCCATTGAGTTATTAGTGTGTGTAATGTAATACACTAATACATTTACTTTTGTTCAGGTAGTTGGAACATTGGGATATGCTGCTCCTGAATATATCCACACGGGTCATCTTTCTTCAAAGAATGATGTGTGGAGCTATGGGATGTTCCTCTATGAGCTAATAACAGGCAGGCGACCACTGGATCGGAGTCGCCCTAAGCGTGAGCAGAAGCTCTTGGAATGGGTAAAGCAATACATATCAGATCCTAAGAAGTTTCAAACGATAATAGATCCCAGGCTTAAAGGGGAGGATGTCCTAGGTTCTGCTCAGAAACTCTCTCATGTTGCCAACCGCTGTTTGGAAAAACGCCCAAAGTTACGCCCGACCATGACTGAAGTCCTCGAAATGGTTACTCCTATTGCAGAAGCACCGATAGGGATGGACAATTCCAAGCGGCCTATTGTAGTAGCAGAAGAAGACACTTGTAGAAATGGTAAAAGGACAATCAAACCAAATAAAGTATTGGGTGGTTGGTTGGTGAGAATAGCGTCACTAAAGCGTCGAAAGACAGTCATCTGAGCCCTTCGGTGGAGGCCAATTTGGGGTCGGATTTGTGCTGAATGAATCAATGAACGATGGTAGTGCCCGAGTGTTAACTGTTTTGCTTCCATCCTTCCGCTGTTTACTACAACTATATATATGTATATATATTATTCCTGCAGAGAAGCAGCAGCTGCTGATCTAGATCATGTACTATACTCGTGTTCTTTTTCTATCCATATCTGGCAATACTATGTGAACATCTTACTGGACAGTCATAGGAATATATCTAACCTTAGAGTCTTAGACTATGCTTCATTTCTTGGTGGCCTTCCTCTTCCAAGAAGACAATGACTGGTCTGTATGTTTCGGTAATCACATGGTATAATTGGATAGCTTACTGTGATTACACACGGGGGCAGGATACTCCACGTCCCACAGTGATATCGTGGTGTAAGAGTGTTTTTCAGCAAAAGCTTGCCAGCAAACGTAGTGTGCTTAAACAACATAATCTATTCTCAAAAAGTTTCCTCTTGCCTGTACCCGACTGCAGAGCTATCGATATGGTAAAAGCCACTACTAGCAGTCTGGCAGCTATAAGATTAATGTAGCTGTCTTTTATAAAGATCAGCAAGTATTAAGATAGCTAAATGTTACTCTTTCAAAGCAGAGTCAAAACTAGTGTACGCAGCACTGGCTTTCATGACGGCAAGTCGGCAATCCTAAGGTGTTTGATAGAAGGCCTAAGAAAACCTATAATTCGATTTGAATCCAATCTTATGCTTAAGATAAAAACTGTTTGTATATTAACATCCATTTGTAGTTTTGAAAATACAATTTTTTTATCAGTGAATATCCTTTTACTCCGTAATAGGCAAAATATGTTTTGTCCAGGCAATTCACATGTACTCCCGTAACTTAAAAATCTTCCCACTTTCCTTTTTCGTCCGTAACACAAAAATTTTCTCATTTCTAAATCTTCTCATCATACCCTCAATAATTCTTAAAATAATACACTAATACAACTACTTTTTTTTAGATTTATCCTACATTCCACCACATTATTCCACTATTTTCCCATCATACCCTCAATAATTCATATCATCTTTCACTATTCTTAATCTACCTACTTTTGAAATGGGAAGATTTTAAAGTTACGGAGGGAGTAAAAAATGGGATAAGGGTCAGTTTGGTACTCGAAGTTGCAAAAAATGGGTCAAATAAGTCTATATATAGAAGATTCTGTCCGTACGGGTCATTTGAGGCGGCTCCCGGTGGAATTTTTTGATGAAATTTTTTGAGCATCTTATTTATTAAGTCTAGTTCACTCATATCAAATTTCAGATAAAAATTCAATCGGGAAGACATTCAAATGAATTCTTGAACATAACTGTGTCGTTAAAAGCGCAGTTATCTTCAAGAATTTATTTGAATGTCTTCCCGATTGAATGTTTAGCTGAAATTTGGTATGAGTGAACTAGACTTAATGAATAAGATGCTCAAAAAAATTTAATAAAAAATTCCACCGGAAGCCACCTCAAATGGCACGCCCGGACAGAATCTTCTATATAAGGACTTATTTGACCCCTTTTTTGCAACTTCAAGTACCGAACCTTTACTCTGGAAAAAATAGCATGTTCACCGACGAAGCGTGTACGAATGGGCGTGCATAAGAAGCCGGGCTGCTTATTTTAATGTAACCACTTACATTTGGGCATTTGTGGATTATTGGACTATATAAAACAAAAACATAATAAGAAGAGAGACATTTCTCTTTAAAAGCATGCATAATTTATTCCTTCGCGCACCCGAACAAATGCTGGGCACACCCAACTTCGTTCATGATCGGACAGCATTGTCCTCTTCAATTTATAAATCATTTTGATTATTCCGTACTTGATTTAATTGCTTGGTGGCACCATTAGTTTATCACACGCCAGTCCCTAAAAATTGTCTATCCAATTGTTATCAACCATGGGCAAATCCTTCAAAAAAACCATGGGCAACAACTACTCCGTATTATTTTTATTAAATGTTAACTCTTATAACTTTTTCATCCGTATTTTTATGAAAAATATATTAAGTTAAATATCCTTTTATAATTTTTAATATGACACCAATATCTTATGGGTATAATAATAATAATAATAATAAAAATCACGTCTGTTAATTTTGGTTTAAGGGCAGCTAATGTGCATTTCACTAAAGTATTAAATTAAAACTCATAAAATTATAAGAAGACAACTTTGAAGTATACATATTCATTTGACCGAAATTCAAATATTATAAGTCATTAATTTATAATTATAATGCTAATAAGGATGTTTCTAGTTGGACTGATATTTTTTTGGTATGATCTGATTTAATATGATCTGATCTAGTCTAGTCTGGTAGTTTTTTATTCTACGTTTATTATGCAACTATCAAAGTCTGATTTGGTTTGATATGGTTAGGCTTATGCATGGACTAGATCCGGTTCGGTCCCAGTTCTGGCCCCGAACCGGAAAATATGGGTCCCGGTCTGGTCCCGAACCGGTTCGGACTTTTAAATAAAAATTATATTAGTATATAAATAAAAAAAATGTTATATTGTTTTTGTCGCGTACAATGTTTAGTACTACGTAATATTTATCTACAATGGCCCCGAACCGGAAAATATGGGTCCCGGTCTGGGTCTCCATTTTTCTTTGTAATGTGTTTCGTTGTGTTTGTCGCATACTATGTTCGGTAATATTTATATGATCACATACTCTAACAACTAACAAATATGCTTTTTCATTCATATTTTTATTGAAAAGATATTGTCTTTATTCTATTACATATAACTATCATCCACTATTTAGAATGTTTTAACTAGATGGTGTTAGACCCATATTAGACTTGAAACATATCAAAATTGATCAGACTAAACTTTGATAGTTGTATACGAGTAATACATATAGAACAGACTTTGATCAGACCAGATCATACCAAATCAGACCATAATAGAAAATTTTGATCCAATTAAAAACAACTTTATTGACATTATAAATATAAATTAATGTTTCCTGATAAATGAATTTTTGTCAAGTTAATATGTATACATCAAATTTCAATTGTGCCTTCGTATAATTTAATGTCTCTTAAATCAATACTCCATCCATCCTTTAACCTTTGTCAAATTTAAACGGTGCAGAAAGTAATAGGAAAACTTTGTAGTTGAGATTTTTGCAAAGGAAAGAGAAACAATTGGAATTACGAATTAATTTTTTAAAAGGGAAAGTGGCAATTTTGGGAAAACCCAAAAATTAAATATGAGAAAATTTTAAGCGACGAAGCAAGTACTTTAGTGAAATACACATTTACTAGTCGTTCACTATACCAAATTTAAACTAATCTGATCATAATTTGTTTTAAAAACTTTTACATATGTCATATTGGTATTTTATGAAAGGTCATTAAAATATTTGATTTTCTATATTTTTGTAAAAATTGGAATTTGAATGAAAAGGTTATAACATTTTTATAAAAATAGTAATTGATCACCACATGGCTGAAACTATCGGATAATGAATCAATTTTGCAATTAATTAAGTTGATGGGTGTGCGTGTAAACTCTTTAAAAGTAAGGATAAGATAGTCTTATCAAGGTTACATTTTCTTTAAGGGCCCGTTTGTTAGGATGTAAAGTAAACACTTTGCGTGTAAAGTGTGGAGATGTAAATATTTTACACCGTTTGTTTTAATTATTTAATATAAATTGTAGGACATTTTTAAAATAATATTTTACTGTACCACGTAAAATAGTTTACGTGGGGAGAGAGTGGTAAACTATTTTACATTCGTTTATAAGAGGGAGAGTACATATACGGAGCATTGAGTTCCTGGTTTCAACGTAGACCGACTCTTTGAAGACTCAGGCGACAAAGCAAAAGTGTAGTCGATTGAGTCTGTTAAATGAAGCAGATTCGCATCTCTTTGGCTCAAAATAAAAAAGACTAATAATATTCAACAAATTAAATAACCCAAGATTAATAATCATCAAAGGTTGCACGTCTTTCATGCTTGCTGGCCTGGAGGAAAAATCATTCACACTTGAATTTGTGATTGAAGCCATTGGTCAATCGAGGCCTCCTATACGGAGGTATGTAGTCCTTATATATAATATATATACATGTAAATATTTTTCCGAACAAACATGCTAACGAGTTAGCCCCTAATTTAAAAATAAATTAACGATGCATCTTTATTTTACATGCAAACGCCTTTAACTTTACATGCAATCGTTTTGCATGTAAAGTTTTAATGTGTAAACTATCAAACGAGCCATAGAAGTAATGGTGCATCAAGCAACACCCTAAGTTTATCGGATCTCATCAGTCAAGTTTTTATTATGTAGTTTTTTTTCTTCGTGGGCTGAATTGAATGAAAAGCAGAATCATTAGGTTGTATTTACTTTTCTGGCTGAAGTTATTTTATAGAAATAAAATTTAAAAATATGAAAAAGATAAAAACAAAAGGATTGAAAATGGAATAAAAGAAGTTTCTAGGGATAAAAATAAAGAAAGGAATATTTTGGGAGAAAAGGGGAAAAATGAAACATAATTATTTTGAGCAGATTTATAAAAGGTGAGATTATTTATATAAGGTTTCCAAAGAAAAGGAAAAAAACCCGATACAACATGTAACCAATCGGTCAAGGTCCATCGAAAGAAGATATAAGGTGCAAATGTAGGATAATTATGAGAAGACCAACCAAATGTGAGATTATTGTTGTCAATTTTTCTTTAATACGTAGTATATGATTATATAGTTTGAAAATTCCCAAAATAGGAACAATAATAATCTATTGATGTCATATTCAATATTTTGAACAATAATTATTATTAGTATATTTAAGCAGTTTAGCATGCCACGTATTAAAAAGTAACACATTCTCCTAAAATAACTTGAACAATATAGATATAATTAAATTAATAATAATCTCTAACAAAAATAAATAAAATTATTTAAACAACGGGATATAAAATCATTTATTTCTAATATGATATTGTGTATTTAGTCATTTCATATTTAAAAAAATATTTGAATAAAAATTTCGGACAAAGTTGTTTGCCTTGACCCGCGAGATCCCTATGTAGATACACTCGTTACTTAAGTGTATCCCTTCACTCGTCAGCTACTCAACGTCTCAGCCATTGCCACTCGCAAGCTCTTGGAACAAGATGAACTTGTTCCTGGACATTAGTACATTACTCATTAGTCATTAGGGTTAGTTTATTTGAATCTTACGTAGTAGAAAATGTTATAATGCGGTTTGAAAATTTTGGCCTTTATTTTTCACACAAAAAATCGAACACTTCGTAGAAGCCTAGAACGCTATAAATAAAAGCATTCCAATCGTAGAGTTTCAATCTTATGTGGTGTTCTCACACAAACAGAAATACAACTAACTCAGAATTTGTTTTGTTCGTCTGATCTAAACATTTTTTATATGAATTTTTTAAGATCTAGCCTAATCTGATTTAAAATTTCCTGATAATCTTGTTTGATCTGATCTGATTTTGATTTGATCTGGTTTGATCTGAATCTTTATGATTTGATCTTATCTTCTCTGTTTAGATCTGAATGTTTCTAATAATCTAAATGTTTCTGATCTGATCGAAATCTTTCTTACCTGATATGGTATGAATATTTATAATCTGATCTTATCTGAATTTTTCTGATATGACATGACGTGATCTGATTTTTCTGATATGATTTCAATAAATTAAAAATAAGCAACAAGCAACAAGAATAGGACAAACAAAAAAAGCTCATTAGATACTTATTAATAATTATAATAAGAAAATTAAATATATAATAATAATTTCTACTATGATACCAATCAAGTATTTACGAAGTATTCCATTTTTTTGTGTGAAAAATACTTATATAATAATTTATAGCTTTCTGTTTATATTTCATTACTATTTACATTTTCTCTGATTATTAAGCATTACAAATAATAATTTGTGAAATTGAATACTTTCTATTCTATGATTTTAGCTTGACGTGTAATAATACATACGGAGTATATATTCATATTATATATTTCAATCCATATTGATTTACCACCCTTACGAGCGAGCTTCTATTGATCCTTAATCCGGTCATTTGATGAGGTTGATTTACGATGTTGTTTTAGCAATGGACACGTAAACGTGAGCTAGGTGTGATGTGAAAAAGATGAATTTCAATTTAAAAATTCTTTCATTTTATTCTTGTCTTAGACAATTGAATTTTTAGGATAGACAAATATTCTTACTTTTAAGACAAACTTTCACATGTTTTCTCTCCCTCTATCTAGCTTAGATGCAAAATGAGGCTTTGAAGAAATGTCGCCTAGCTCGACTTTACTTCGTGGTCGATCAAGAATTCATTCATATTCTGAACATACACACATTCCGTTCTATACAAATTATGATCCATACAAGACACGTTTTAACAAATATATATATACACACATAGATCTTAATTGGTTAAGAAAATGTTGAAAACCACGTTACTTGTGTTTCTAGCTAGCCGCAAAAGCCAACTTGCATTATTGTACGTACACAAAACGCCCTTTCATCCCATTGAATGAAACATTTGTTTCATAAGTGTATCGCATCCATCAGATTTACGACGTTCCATTAAAAATAGTTTCATGTTGCATAAGATTTAAATTTGTAATGTGACCTTAAAATTGTTTCATGTTGTACTAATATGTGATGATGTTGTACCAAAATAGTTTCATGTTGTACTAGACAAATGTAATATGATTTTTCAGAAGTACTTACTAAAATGCCATTGTGCTAGGTTGCATACTTTAGTGCAACATAAAATGTTTTTTACTGCAATATAGTCAAATCCAACGGCTAGATTCATATATTCTCATTTCTTACCTAAAGAATTCTTCTTATTGCGACATCACCTGTGGATTTAGAATAATAATGCTTTAGTTTCTCATTCAGATATGCATTTCTATGTATTTTAATTATATGTGTACAGTATGAATGAGAGATAATGCTCGAGATTTGAGGATAGATGACATATTCATCGTTGTAAATTTATTACTTCAATTTGCTATTGCAAATGTGTTCAGTTTATTAGAGTGTTGGTTATGTTTCCATTCCTTGTTAATCTCATACGAAATTTGAAGTTTTTGATTTTATTTGATTGCGGAATAACAGGACTTGAGGAACAAATTCATGCAAATATCTCCTTCTTTAAGCATATTGAAGTTAATACAAGCACTTTTCTGGTATGTGTAGAATAAAAATTACACGCAAATGATTAAATTAAAGAGAATGTTAATACTTATTAACAGTCTTATATGTATTAACATTCTAATTGAGAATATTAATACTTATGAACATTCTTTTTGAGGAAATACTTATGAACATTATAACTGAGAATGTTAATATTTCCCCTGTTCTTACTAAGTGCAACATGTTGACTTTTACACTATTCACATGTTCTACTTTGACTATGTTTTATTTATTAATGTAATAATAATAATAATAATAATTTATTTTTTAAAAAATATTGTTAAATTTGTCTCATCGTAAATTTTTGAAATCTAATATTTTAAATTTTTTAATAATAAAGAATTAAACATAGTAATAGTCAAAGTTGTATGTTAGCAAACATGAAAAGTTGACCATAACACTTATTTAAAAACAGAGGTAGTACTTATTAACATTCTCAATTAGACCTTTCAAGTGGTTTGCGATTTGAGCTTAAATAAACACATCTATATCACTCGTGGATTTAGAATTAGAAAGATGTTAGGGCATGAAACATCCATCACCATCATGGGGGATAATGCTACTTTCCAAAGCATTATGCACTATTTGATTTCAATTTTCAGTATAATTGGTAACTAGTGTTTGCTCTTATAAATTGTAACTAATTGCACAAGTGGAGTTTGTACTTCGCTAAGCTTCAGTGAGATACAATACTTACTAAATACAATCTTCAATAACATTATTACTACACAAAAGTATGTTACTTATTTACAATATGAAAATTAATGAGGAGACTCCAATTCCCATGGCTATTCTAGAGCTACTATGGATGCTTTTATCATTGGAAACTTAAGCTATTAAGCAGGAAAAATCTTAGTAATGCCTATACTTTATATCCATCTATGCTTTCCCTTCTCTTATTGCAATTTTTCATAATCAGCTGCTAATGCATATGACATTACTTCAAATTGTGAATTATAGGTTCTTGAAAACCTGCACTAAGATAATATTGAAGGTTAATCTACTTCCAAGAAAACAAGGTTGTGTTATCGACCCAATTTAGCAGTTTTGAACTTCTAGTAGCCGATTTTTTGTTTTATTGGTGCATTGATGATGTTGGCCAGAGCTTTCAATTACTAAATCTCAAACCTTCATGTATGAACAATCAAACACACATGTTTGTGACTCCATTGGTTTCCATGATCACATTGCTACATTCCTTACCTTCACTACATTGTGTCTGGCTATCTAGTATGTACATGTCTTAAACACTTTCTATTGATGCTAAATGTTGTGAAATTTTGCAGGCCATAGTGATGTAGATGGAGAAGTTTGCAACCCATTGAACCAAATGGTTACTAAAAAAGTATGTTTGTTTTTATTTTCCATATCTAATGACCAACATTAACTCACATTCAACTCAATGGATGCATGAGTGAATCAATTTTTTGGTTTTAGTAAGTTATATATTTTGTAACTCTCACTTGCATTTATGTGGACTTAACATTTCTTCTTTTCATATATTGATGAGAGAGTAATGCAAATCCACTTTAGTAAAATATATTGAATAATTCAACATTACTTCCGTCTCAAATTGGTTTACTAGGTACTTAATTACGGGTTATGAAGTTTCATAAAGTAATCCTTCTAATTACATTTAAATTCGTATTTAAGATTGCATATTGGGAAACTTGCCCAAATGCTCTATCGAACCGCAAAATTGAATTTGAATATGATAAATTAAATTTGATACACTAAATTACAAAAGGGATATGAATTATATTGGTCACATGTACAGTAAAACGAAAGAGGATAGTCTTTCAGGGATTGAGGGAGTATATTGTTATTCAGAATTTGATTTATGCATTTAATTTTTTATTAGGGCTGATGGGAAGATAATTGATCCTCAAATGCAGTATCACATATAGTCCATATTATATTTAGGAGCATTCCTTTGGGACTAACACTTTCTTGTTTCTTTGTAATATGGATGTGAGATTATCATTAGTGATTTTGAATGAATATGACTTTATATTATTTTCATCCAGCACATTCCGAGAATAAATGGAGATATACCTTCGGCAGATGAAACAATTTCTGATCATGAAAGGCTACAAAAAAGGTAGTGATTGACCATCTTAGGACCTTGTGATATTGCACAAAATTGTATGACAAAATAGATTTTGAAGTCGTTATAAATTGTAAGAGACCTTTCAAACTAATGGAAATATAGCCTCCCTAAGATAATATATACTCCTTCACGGATTTGACTAGCCAACTAAAATCTTTTTCTCTCTACTTTGTGGATGAATTGAAGCACTTCATTTGGGATTTGCAATGCTTTGTCATTTTAAAACTCAGATCACATTTTACATAAAAATAATATTATCTTGTAATTTTAATATTTAAATGAAATGAGTGTGAGACCATGCATCATAGTTGCACAAAAACCAACCTACATGTGACTAGCCTAAACGTCTAAAGTAGTGTTGATCAAAAGTCATTTTACCTGTTACTAGATGTTTTTCCAATTTTTGGGAGATATTTCATGCCATCTTTTTAACTAGCAGAAAACCTCGCCTTGCATTTTACTACATGTTTTAGCTCCATATTGTGAAGTGAATAGTGACATTTATGGTTTCAGATTACTGGAGAATGGTTTGGTTGAGCACCAAGTTAAAGGGGATGGAAACTGTCAGGTTATTTCTATTTTTACTCCTTGCTCCATCTTGTATAAATTAAAATTGTATTGATCTTATTTATGATGATGGCCAATAAGTGTATGCGTATGGCACATACGAGGAATTAGCATTCATAATAAATTCCTAACGCAACCCCATCAGCCAACCTGGTGCTTTGTTTAGTCCATCATGCAGCCCTTGAAATATCGATTCAATTTTTACATATGAAAAAGCTGTGTCAAGCTAAAAAGAGAAGTAAAGAAATTCCAAACACACTGTTTTAACTTGTTAAAAACTGCGTCAAGCAATAAAAAGAAATGTAAAAAGGATAGATGGATTAATTTCTATATGCCTCTCATCCATAGGTTGTGCATAGACCGATATGGGTCCCAAGAAAGGGCTAATATGAACCTAAACTTTAATTTGAAATAACCTCTTTTCAAGTGGAATGCCTTTATCTTCTTCTTTTTTTCAATTTTGTGCCTCATCAAATAAGAAGATTATTATAAAGCTAGTATAGTAATATCCGCTCAAGTAGAATGTATTGGTCTTTTCTTTCAGTTTCGTGCTTTATCAGATGAAATATATGGTACACCTGAATGGCACAATTGTGTCAGGGAGCATGTTGTTAATCAGGTGATTATTGATGTTTGTTGGGAATCAATTTTTCTTCAATTATAATTTGATTGCTATAAGTTCATTCGTGACTTTTCACTCTAATTTATTTAACATTTTCACTTATAATCATTGGGTTTCCACCAGCTTAAAAGTCACCCAGAGATGTACAAGGGTCATGTTCCCATGGTCTATGATGACTACTTAAAGAAGATGTCAAAGTAACTTTCAAACTCACAATTCACATAACTTTGTTACATTATATTTGATTGGTTAGTATATATTTAGAATGTCTTTTGTCATTTGTACGTGCTTTATGCATGCTTACATTAATATTAATTTTCCCAGGAGTGGGGCATGGGGTGATCATGTTACATTGCAGGCCGCTGCAGACCTTGTAATCAATACTAACACACATACTTCATTTTTTCTATTCCACTTTCATTTTCAATTTGTTCTTTTTCCTATTCCGATATTTATATTACATGTTTTGTTGATTCTACTTCCAAAAATCATCTACTAACTCCCTAGTGTGTATTTTTTATTGTTAAGTGATGATCTATTATATTTTGTAATTTTGATAGTATGGTGTTAAAGTTCTTGTCATAACATCTTTCAAGGACACTGGTTTTCTTGAGATTCTTCCAAACGTAAAGAAATCAGAAAAAGGTTATTTCGATCCTTAACCTTTTATTTATGCCTAAAATAAAACTAGACAAAGATCATACAACCTGGCCTGGTCTTTCTTTTGAACACGTTTTATGCTCATTTGTCCTTAATTTAAAAGACGCATTATAAGCCTCGGGTTTCATTCTATTATATTTGAAAACCAGACTAAAAAATTGACATTATTCTATGTTTTTAAATAATACAAATAATAATTGTATATTTTGTTTCCCTATGGGTGCGGTTGTATACAGTCATTAATCTAAGTTTTTGGGCCGAGGTGCATTACAACTCCGTACATCCCAAAGGTATAGTCTTATATCATTATCAACCACACACTCAATTCCACAACTTTTTGGTTTTCTAACGTCTCAATTTTTGTCTCAAATATTTTTCATATGTAGATTCTCCTTGTGACTTTTGTGAAAGAGAAGTGGAAGTACCAATACTTGATGCAATAGGTCATAGTTGTACGTAACAAGAAAAACACTATTATGAGTAAAGATTCTCTCAATGACATTGTATTGTAAGAAAAATAACATCATTTGAAATTGTTGTTAAAAACATCAACTTCAAGTGCAATACATGATGTGGCATGTTTTAATGTTCCAAAAAGTTGAATCCCCAATCCCAAAGGCCCCCTCACGCGATCCGACATGGCATTTGGGAGGTTGTAAGTCACGAGGAGTCAGTCATCCTAATGGTGGTAGACCTTGTACCCGTGCACATCAGAGGTCCAGTCCAGCACACTTGAATTGTAACCTCTACAGGGCCTCTGTGGGTTTCGATCTTTGGTCTATGTTTCAACTTTCCCACTACTCGATCAAGTGAGCTACCCATATGGGCAAATGTGGCATGTTTTAAACTTTAATTTGACCTCAGAGTTGAGGACTTGAGGGCCCACTCTACTAAAGAGAGACCTTGTAATATTAGAAGTTTACAGTCATATTGTTGTGGGCCAAGTAAAAATGATTCTATTTTCTTAGAATTTTGGAAGATGATTTCTCATATCCTTCAAGCATTTCATTTAACATTTTCAATAGGGAATACTGTCAAATAAGTCTTTGTACTATAACGAAAAAGTCAATTAAATCCTTGTACTATCAAATCATCCAATCAAGCCCTTACACTATAAAAAGACACTCAATTAGACCCTTTAGCCGGTGAATATTGGTTAATATGTTAATTTGTACATATAGAAACCACGAGGCTGGTTTTACATTTTCCCTTTTGATGAAAACGGTTAGCAACACAAGAGGGGGGGGGTGAATTGTGTGTGTGTGGAACCGTGGCAGTTTTTCGCCGAGTTCTAGTGTGGGATAAAGGGAATTGCGAAATAGTAAAGTGCACAAGAATTTAACGAGGAAAAATCCCTTGGCTCAAAGGGATTAAAAAAACCTCGACCTCCCTCGGAGGAATTTTAAACAACTTCACTAAACAAGCCTTTGAAAGAGTTACAAGAGTGATTCTCCTAATCTACCCTTGAGCCTCCCCAACTCTATCCTCTCTAGGAAGAGTTATGCATCTCTACCTTGCGGGTAGAGAGCCTCTCAGCTTTATCGCAAAGCTCTCACACACACTTAACCCGAGGCAGCTACTCTAGCCAATTAAGCCTCAATATTCCAAGTACAATATGAAAGGGAAAAGAAAAACTCTATCTAGAACTCCGAGCGGGCAGTTTCAGGCGCCAAGGACTTGATCCTTTTCTTGAATGATTCTTCTAAGTATTTTTCTCGGTTCAGCACACTTTTTCTCTCCAGCTACTTCGATTATATAGGACACCTCAGAATTAATCCGTTGGAGCCTTCTTCTCTCGAAATCAATCTTGATACTTGCCTTGAAATAATTTAAACACCTTCCATCTTGATACTCAGGTCAACCGAGCTCTTATGGTCTTACAAGACAATGAATAATTGGCAAGACAGTAATATATTATCTTTCCATAGTAAGAGAAATGAATCTCGCAGAATACAATACTTGGCATATATGGATTTATTCGAATTGTGTAACTTTACTAAAGTAGCTTTTTCCTTTGATAGCATAATGCTCAAAAACATGCAACGATCTTCCTCTTTAAAAAGGCAAGCAATGATGGCTTTTCAATGGTAAGTTATTAGGCTTTGATTGGTATAGTATCCTTCCATAAATGGAGCAAGTATTTATTCAAATCATGTGATATTTCAAAAAGTATCTTTCCTCAAATCATGCCACGTTCATTAGTTGTTTGAAAACAATTGCTTTCCTTAAAAGTGTATTAATTAAAGACCTTTTCCATAAGGATATTTCATTAGTATTTTTCCTTTTTAATTTATGCAAGCCAATAGTGTCACAATAATGTTACGTAATCATGCATGTACGTAGATATAACTAAATCACAAATAGTATAGAGTAGTTCTAGCACAGGTCCATTAATGAGCTCGTACTAGGCAACCTGCTCGGTTAGAATTAGGATAGTTCTTTCCTTGGTTCCAGTCAGGTTAGTCATCAACAAAACTAATTAATCAACAAATTCCCCCTTTTTGTTGATGACAAACCATAGGTGCCTGCATTGTTAGAAGATAATATGCAACAGTAGCAACATCTTATAGTGAAGCACATAAGTACGTAGCATAGAGGATAAAGGCACCTGGTTGTTTCCCCCTTTTGGCATCAACCAAAAGGAAACAAAATAATGCCTAAATTAAAACACCGATTTATTCCCCCTTAGATGATGCCGGAAGCTCCTTTCTCTTCCCAGAGGCTTGGTAAAGATATCAGCTATTTGTTTCTCAGTGTTGCAATATTCCAGCCTGATTATCCCCTTTTCCACGCAATCTCTCAGAAAGTGATGTCGTATATGAATATGTTTTGTCCGAGAATGCATGACTGGATCCTTTGAGATGCTAATAGCACTTGTATTATCACACATAATTGGTGTGCATTTTAGATCAACTCCGTAGTCGCTTAACTGTTGCATGATCCACAGTGATTGAGAGCAACATGATGCAGCAGCTACGTACTCAGCCTCCGCTGTTGAGAGTGCTATTGAGTTTTGTTTCTTAGAACTCCATGAAACTAGACATGGACCCAGGAAATGAGCAGTTCCAGACGTACTTTTTCTATGTAATAAATCACCTGCAAAGTCAGAATCTGAATATGCAATTAGTTCGAAATTCTCATTACGAGGATACCATAGGCATAAATCAGCAGTTCCTTTGAGATATTTGAGGATCCTTTTTACAGCCTTGAGGTGAGATTCTTTGGGATTGGCCTGGAACCGAGCACATAGACCTACGCTGAAAACAATGTCAGGTCTACTGGCAGTGAGGTACAGTAGGGACCCAATCATTCCTCGATACATCTTTTGGTCTATGCTCTTTCCTTGTTCATCCGCATCCAGCCTATCATTTGTTCCCATAGGTGTAGTCATGGTTTTGCCTTCACTCATTCCGTACTTCTTTAGGAGTTCCTTGAGGTACTTTTGTTGAGATATTTGAGTTCCTTTGCTTGATTGCTTGATTTGTAGGCCAAGGAAGAAATTAAGTTCCCCCATCATACTCATCTCAAATTCGGAACTCATAAGATTAGAGAATTCATCACAAAGAGAATCGTTAGTAGCACCAAAAATAATATCATCAACATAAACTTGAACAACCAATAGGGCTTGATCTTTTATTTTTAGAAAAAGAGTTTTATCTATTTTTCCTCTTTCAAAACCATTTTCCAAAAGAAATTTAGATAAGCGTTCATACCAAGCACGAGGTGCTTGTTTGAGGCCATAAAGTGCTTTATCTAATTTGAAAACATGATTAGGAAAATCTTGATTTTCAAAGCCCGGTGGTTGTTCTACATATACCTCTTCCTTTAGATATCCGTTCAAGAAGGCCGTCTTGACATCCATTTGGTGGAGGGTGAAACCCATATGAGCCGCAAATGCTATGAGCATTCGGATTGCTTCTAGTCTTGCCACCGGTGCAAATGTTTCGTTGAAATCTATTCCTTGTTGTTGGTTATAGCCTTTGACAACCAGCCTAGCTTTGTTTCTTGTAATTTGGCCATGTTCATCAAGCTTGTTCTTGAATACCCACTTGAGACCTATCACGGTCTTGTTCTTGGGTCTCGGTTCTAGATGCCACACCTTATTTCTTTCAAACTGATTTAGTTCTTCCTGCATGGCTAGAACCCAGTCAGTGTCGGAGAGAGCCACTTCATGGTTCTCCGGTTCTATAAGAGATAAATAAGCAGAGAAAGCACAAAAGTTTTTAAGTTTAGATCTAGTTGTTACTCCCTGATTTAGATCGGTGAGGAGATTATCCAGCGGATGTGATCTATGAAGCTTCCAACCCCTAGGAGCGTTGGGTTGGTCCACCAAGTTGTTGAGAGTATCTGGAACTGGTTCTACCGGTTCTACAGGTCCAGTGTCAGTGTTCTGTCCAGGTTCTTCTTCAGTTCCAGATTGTTCATTTTCATTTGTTAGAGGTGGTTCACCAGTTTGATTGTCAGTTTCTTCATCTCCTTGAGATTGTGATTTCTTGCGAGTGATCCCTAGCTCACCATCATCGGCTTGGATTGATTTTGGGGAAAGTGCTTCATCAAAGATTACATGAATGCTTTCCTCCACACATTGTGTGCGTTTGTTTAGAACTTTGTAGGCCTTGCTATGTGGGGAATATCCTAGAAAGATTGCCTCGTCACTTCTAGCATCAAACTTGCCGATGTTGTCTTTCCCATTGTTGTGGACGAAACATTTGCACCCAAAAGTTCTTAGATGACTTATGTTGGGCTTCCTCCCCTTGAGCAGTTCGTAGGGTGTTTTCCCTAGGAGTGGACGTATCATGGCTCGATTAATGATGTAGCATGCTGTGTTTAGAGCCTCTGCCCAAAAACTCCTAGCTAGACCGCTGGAAATAAGCATAGTTCTAGTCATGTCCTCCAGAGTTCTATTCTTCCGTTCTACCACTCCGTTCTGTTGTGGAGTTCTAGGTGCGGAAAAGTTGTGGTCTATCCCTCGTTCTTTGCAGAAGGCATCGAAGAGAGAATTGTCAAACTCAGTTCCATGATCCGATCGGATCTTGATTAGTCGTAGACCTGTTTGATGCTCAATTTTCCTTACAAAAATAGCAAACTCATTAAAAGTATCTTTCTTGCTAGCAAGAAAGATAGTCCATGTAAATCTTGAAAAGTCATCAACAATAACCAGAACATATTCTTTGTTTCCTCGGCTACGGACTGACATTGGACCACACAAATCCATGTGTATTAGTTCTATGGGCTTGCTTGTGCTCACCAAATTCTTTGTTTTAAAAGATGATCGAGATTGTTTTCCGGTGGCACAAGCCGAGCAAACATGGTCAAGTGAAAATTTCATATTGGGCAGTCCAATAACTAAATCATTATTTTTAAGTTTATTTATTAATGAAAAACTAGCGTGTCCAAGCCTTTTATGCCATAGCAAAGGATCGTTATCAATAACGCTCAAACAAGTCATACTAATATTAGGCAATGAATCAAGATCTACTTTATATGTATTTTCGAGCCTCTTGCCTTCAAGTATAACTTGTTGTGATTCGTTATTAACAATGCGACAAACGTTATGATCAAAAACAACACTATTACCTCGATCGCAAAATTGAGAAATACTTAGTAAATTAAATTTCAAACCCTTGACTAAAAATACATTATCGATAGCATGGCTAGGTGACTTTCCAACTTTGCCCACGGCTATGATATCTCCTTTGCCGTTGTCTCCAAATGTCACCTTTCCACCGCTAAATGGCCGTAGTGAGAGGAATAAAGATTTGTCTCCCGTCATGTGCTTAGAACAACCACTGTCAAGGAACCAGTGATTGTTCCCCCTCACTCGGCGCTGTTCCAGGATTAAGGGTTAGCGCGTGGAACCCAGACTTGCTTGGATTCCATTTTGTAATTGTTTGAGGAATATCTAACATTTTGTAATTGTTTGAGGAATATCTAACATGAACATGACCGTGCGTGGGTGGCAGTAGCTCCCATGCGTAATCCTTTAGCACGCACAGCGTGTCTACTTGGCACGCACGGCGTGCCTTCCTTGTTCCCGGGTCTGGGCACTCCGTCACGCACGCACGGCGTGAATAACTGGGCACAGCCGTGCG